CCACACTAAAAAGAGAAGATTGTCCATCCAGCAAATGCATGATGACAATTTCCAAAGGACTGCTGTCTCCTTACATCTGAATCTCCATTTCAAGCCCTTTCCCTGTAGCTTTGAGTTGCTATTACTGCCAAGATGTTTATACCATTTCTTTTTTATAATTCAGTGCCATGTATTTCTTAAACATTAATTTCTCCATTCATATGTATCATCATTTTTAATAAATATTCTGGGTATCTTGAGCCATGCTTTTGCTTTTAAGCACCTTTTCAGCACAGATTGGACTGTTTGCATTTGGCCCCCCAGATCTTCCATCCAACTGTCTAAATTATTTTAACTGACATAGTTTCTAATTTACTCTCTCCAGTTGAGAGAGCTTCCTGTAGCTTGTCTATTTCAGCATTTAATTGCTCCATACTTCCACAAATTAGATTCTGTACTGATCCATTTTGCTCTACTGGTGAAGCAAAGATCTCTTCAGCATAGCCTAGGTAATATGGGACTTGTGATGTAGCTGAAAAGACCATTCCCCCCCCCCCCCGATACTTTGGGGCTTCATTTGCTTTGTACTAACTGAAAAAACTAGACCAATATTTTTCTGTGGTGGCAGCCAAATCAGTTACTAGTATTGCTTCATTGTCTGTTATGATCCTTTTTCCCTTGAGATGAAATAAGGAAAGAAAATCAGGGGATCTGATGGAAAAGTTTAAACAAATGGAAGTGTTATTTAACTGAAAGGCATTAAAAAGAGGACTTTCCATTAATACACTAATACTGTATATTGAATATTTTCTCCTGTTCAGACATTGCCGTTATCATGCTTTTTCTATAAATTTGAACAGGATTTAAATCAGCAAGAAATATTTGCCTCCTCTTCAAATTATTTTGAAGCCTAAATGGGGCTTGAATTTGAATTAAAAGTTTTCTATTGGAACTATAATCCCAAGAATTCTTTGCCAACAGTGCACCAAAAGGAATCCTTTTCCTTAAACAGTCAGAGCATTTAACAAAATTGCCATTTTTGTGATTTGTTCTTCAGTTGAATTAATAATATGCCTATTGAAAGGTCCAATTCATTGTGGTTTGATAATCTATGGTTTATCAGACTGAGAATGTATTCTTACCCTTCCCTCTTTATGTATGCTCAACTTTAGCAAAGATATCATAATATTTTGTATCATAGTTTCCTGTGATGTTCAGATCACAGTTTAGCCACTGCTTAATAACAAAGGCCAAGATATGAGTCTGGTTTATATTATGTTTCATGGGGAATTATTGCAGGTAGGAGAGAGGAAAGGAAGGGACAAATCTTTGTCTTTGCAACTTGATCCATGTTTTATCACCCATAGTTTGTTGGAATGAGATTGTTATGAATAACCAGGCCACTGTTCTGCATGCAATTTTTGTTCAGATGTTTATGCATAGTTACCTAAAGTTATATCTCTAATGTTTGTTTATTTGGGAATCATACCAATAACATAAAGAGCCAGATTGGTGTAGTAGTTAAAGTAGCAGAAACTGGGAGACCATGAGTTGTAGTCCCAAAGCCAGCTTGGTGACCTAGGGCCAGGCACTTTCATTCAGCCTTGCCAGAAAACAGCAGACATATGAAGTTATGTTATATATGGTCTTCTACATTCACTGAAAAAAATGAAGGCCTTTATTTAATGAGGGAAGAGAATATTTTAGCGGGATCTGATTTTTTCTAATAAGGAGCTGAAAAATAATTTAAGGAAAATGTAATATTACCCAATATATTCTCAATCTGATAAACCATAGATTATCAAGCCGAAATGAATCAGACCTTTCAATAGGAATACATCTGCTTCTAGCATTTGTCTTAATTGCTTTGAAGGGTTATATCATAATATAGTGGACCATAAAGGAATGCATGCATGCATACTTTTCTGTAATTTTCTCCACCTTCTCTAAATAAACCTGTGTAATTATAAAAAAGATAATCCTGACTGATAAGTCAAAAAAGGAGAAAAATCCTACTTACAATTTGTTAAGTGTTATCTAAATAAAAATGCAATAAATCCTTCATTTGACAGATTGAATGTCTGTTCAATTTGAGATTTCTTCAAGCCTAGAAAAACATTCATACATGAGATTATTGTGTTAAATAGTACTCTATGGCATTAATCTATGTACCACTGCAGCTCTATTTTCTATAACCTTCAACTGGGTGAAATGGTGCAACAATTTTGGAAACAAGGTACCCGAAATGGGCTAACTTAGAGTGCATCCAAAATCTGGGACCCATGATTACCAAGAGAATGAAATTTGAGAAAGAAGTGGCTTTGACTCAGTGGGGCAATGGTTGTCTAGTAACAAAATATTAATAATACTAAATGCCTATATAGCACTTAGATAAGTAAAAGTGGAAAAAACAAAAGATGTGCAGATGTCATCTGCTGAAGAGTTTCTGGTTTAAGATGACATCTACTTTCCTTCATCTTCCTCTAACAACTGTATACATGTTCTTCATTTGCTTCCTCTTTGCCAGGCTTTAGTATGGTTTTGTGTTAGTCATTTAACTCAAATTCTTCAAGACCATATCCATGTTATAAAACAGGTTTTTTTTTTCCTAGCCAACATTTCAATTTTGACTGCTTTCCAAACCGCAGTAAAACTGAAAAATGATTTTAAGTTACAGCCTCTGAGTATATTGCCCTCTGGTTTATCACATACATTCTCAAATACAGATAGTCCTTGGGTTATGACAGCAACTGAAACTGAAATCTCCATCGCTAAGGGATGCAAAGTAAAGTGGGATATCATGCGATTAATGATGGCAATCTCACAGTCCAGATTGCTACCCTAGCCTCAAGATATGTGGATTTTTAAGCCAGAGGAGGCAGGAGTCCCAGGCAAGGAAGCTGGCAAGTGCTATAGGAGGGTGAAGGGTGGCCACAGACAGGAATGCTGAAGTGTGGGTGGATATGCAGGTGCCATGAGAAATGCTGCAGATAAGTGCCCCAGAGCATAAGTGGGTGCCATGGGTGTGCGTGTGAGTGGGTGGGTGTGGAATGGAGCATACTAAGTGAAAAAGCAGCAGGTATGGGAGCAACTATGCTTGTGGGAAGCTGCAGGAAATGTTGGAAAAATTGTAATCCATGTGAGCGTGGTTTGGTGGAACATCGTAATCGCAACTAGGGACTTAACATGGGGACACTGCAACTTTACGGACCAGTCATAAATCCCCACATTCAGTGTAGTTGTAACTTTGAACAATGACTAAACAAGAGGTCATAACTCAAGGACTACTTGTACACCCGTCATCTACCTCAAAAGTATATTACTATTAAGTCTTTTAGTTGCCAGAATGATCCCCGGTCCAGGGGCTAAACGACTACTGTGTATGTGATTGAAAATATGGACTAAATGTTACTATATTTCCTTGATAACATACAGTAGCTTGAGATGGATAAATAGAAGTGTTCTAAGTTTAGAAATGTCTTCATATTTTCTTTTGATACCTGCAGCTTTTCAGTTTGATAATCTGCTGAATGCAGACAAAAGTGATTGAAGAATCAGTCATTAAAAGAAGTTACATAAACTCTGCCATCTCTGAATTATACTATGTGAACAGGAGTTGATGCATAATGTCTTTCAGCTCTTTTGGGTGAAATGACTTGATACAATGACTGATGTTAATCTATGCAATCTGTCAGCATTTGCACCAACTATCACTGAGATCATCTCTTTGCGGATATTTTGTCAGTCTCATTGTCATTATACATCTGTGATAATATGAGGTCATTGTATTATCTGTGCAGTTGTTTAACTTTTTCTTCAAAGTTCTGTCTTATCCAGGGCAATATTCAAAGCTTTGTCCAAAGTTCACTTGATTGTCCCATCCCTTTTACGAAATTACCAAAACTATCTCCACTGGATCAGATCTTAACTTCATGTGGTATTTAATTGCAGATCCTCGTTCCACTCCATATATACACTAACGTGAACGTTGCTGAACATACCACCGCAAACTTGTTTCATGAAATAATACTTCCTGAGCTGTTTTCATATTTTTTTTGTCTCAGTTACAACTTTCTTACTTTCAGTGTCCACAATATGCACTGATACAAGATACTTTTTAGGAGGGAGAATCTGGCAGACTTCGTCTATAACATCTGAAGTCTGCTAAATTGAGACTAATTGAACAGAGGGTATACTATATGCTGTTGCTGTGGTTATTATTTGCCCTGAATAAAATATACTAATTCAATTCACACATTCAAATAGTCTTTCCTAAAAGTGCTTGAGACTTCTGCCTAGTAAAATAAGTCCAAATATAATATGTCATCCCTGAAGGATATCTTGTTTTAAAAAAATTAGCCTTATCTATCCGATTATGCATGCTAATATTATACAGAATTATTAGTGCATGTAGATCCCTTTTGAGTGAATTTCAAAAATACACTGAACACTTGAGAAGGATTTAAGTCTCTCAAAGGACCTAAGGATATGCAAATAAACCTAGCTGAATCAAGTTAAACAGGTGCATCTCACTAACAATGTGAGCCTCCTTTCCCTGGCTTTTGCTGTCAAAGAACAAGAACATCTGTAAAAACAAATGGGTGATCATGGAATTTAGTGCTCTCATGTTGTAATAAACTGCTTTGGTCTTGTCTTATGAAAATAGCTTGGTAGGACAGCTCTTACCAAGGCAACATGCATGATGGGAGATGTCCTGAAAACCAATGAGCAAACATCTTTTTTTAGTGCGTGTACATTTTGCATGTAAATCTGAATCAGTGTTCTATTAACAAATAATTACCTCACATATTTGAATAGAATTTTAGTCTAATTAAGTACAAGTTGAAAAACCACTGTCAAAATGACATCAGATCTAGATCTGATCAGGTATGAAAACTTCATGGAAAACAAAGGCAGGACATCCATTAACTAATTAACTAAATAAATAACTAAATAAATAAATCAATAATCATATGTTTTATTTTGTAACTATAATGAGACGGGTTTTTTTTTTCTTTAAGGAATCTCCTTCTGGACGCCGGAAAGCCCTTGCTACCAGCAATATCAACATGAAACAATATGCGAGCCCCATGCCGACACAGACAGATGTCAAGTTAAAGTTCAGGCCTTTGTCTAAAAAAGTTCTCTCAGCCACCCTGCAGTTCTCGTTATCGTGTATTTTCCTAAGAGAAGGAAAGGCCACGTAAGTTTTGCAGGATATGTTCCTCTGTTGCTCTTTTATATGCACCATTGAGCCTTTCTTGAGCACCCTTGAACCACACCACCAAAGTTCCCTTGCATGGTTGTTAAAAATCTGTGAAAAATATGGTTTCAGACAATTCAAAGTGCAAAATGCATGCAAATCACTGTGTAAGTCCTGAATAAACATTAAAAAAAGACTCCCACAAAGCACTTCTCCCTTCCCAAGTAGATACTCCCAGACCTGCCTACCTGCTTACCTGTCTGTCTGTGTGACCTAGTCAAATCTGCTTTGCATTATCACCTCTGCTGCTACTCTTAGGCCTCCCATAAAAGTGCTGAAGGTGGACCACATTCAGACTTACAGATTGTACAGAAGCTATTGTTTGTCATTCTAGTTTGTCTTCAGGGCAGTGGGTGGAGGGCATGAGTTATGGGCAAGAAATTTCTGGTTTTGTATCCCTCAGGCATGGCCTTGAATGAACAATTATTTCAGTTTCACCATAGAGCCATAATAGGAGACAACAATATGAACCTAGAGCATTGGTAAAAATTAGAAAGATAATGCTGATAACACATAAGAGGAAGTTCTATATCATTGCTAATTATTTTTCATTATAATGTTTTATATAACTTGCTGCCCTAGCATAATACCTTTTTGAGGTTCCTTTCATTAGTAAAAATTATACCTTTTCTTTTCCCATAATCCTTCATAGTCTTCCTTTCAAGATGCAACTGCACGTCAAGGTTAGAATTAATTTGTTTTCTCGAAAGTGCTGAATCAAAATTCAGCAGAGAGAAGATCTATCAAGGGAAAATAGCCATTAGTTCAGTTCTGTCAAGATGCTATAAATGAAGGGCATCTTGAAGCAACAAATTAATTTGATATTGGTAGGATGATGATGATGATATTATTATTATGTAGTAATAGTTGTTACACTATTTACATACAATTTGCCAGATAGATCTGATTGGATTTGGTTCTGAGAATCTAGGATAGCTAAGGATACCATCATAAATTATGCACCGTTATATGTAATGAAACTGTTTGTAATTGGTGAGTTATAATTTTATCCATTCTATTTGTGCGCAACTGCTTTTTCAGATATTTTGAAATGACACCAAGCACACCAACCTCTATGATTTTCCATATTTGCTCTATTTGTATCATTATACAGTATTTCCCTACTTTTCCTGGTTATTTCTGATTGATTCTTCCATCTCTAGCTACTGCAATTGCAATTATTCATACTTGGTTCTTTGTAACTACAAAGAAGTAACTACTGCTGGCTTCTTATGGGCTAAATGTTTATTGTTGTTATGCTTGCTCACACAGTCAGCCAGATGTTTAGACTGGATTTACATTTTTATTCACCTATCGAGTCCTTCCTAAAGACCTGGATAGACAGATGTTGTTGTTTAATCGTGTTAAAGATATCTATTATTATATACACAAAAAATGTAAAATCACAGCTGTCAGTTCTTTAGCCCGTGTTAGCCTTCATACACATCAAGTTCTTCATAGGAACCTAGGATGTTGTAATGTATCAGCGTATTATTCAACCATTATTATATTGTTATTATTATTATTATTAGAGATGAAGATATGCAGAGCCTGGCAAGTCTGATGAGTATGAAGCAAGCAGATATTGGAAATTTAGATGACTTTGAGGAAGATAATGAAGATGATGAAGAAAATAGAGTAAACCAGGAAGAAAAGGCTGCAAAAATTACAGGTTTGTTTCTTCCCTGAATATGTATGTCTTTGCTTGTAAACTTAATTTGAAAATTGTTATTCTTTTCGACCATTTTTCTTTTGAAAATAATGTAGATTTTTACTATTTGTATTAGGAGGAAACAATTTAATCTAAATCATGGATTGGTATCCATTTGTGAAGTAAGGGAGGATTCATGCTCCTTTTGGTTAACTTCAAAAGAGCCATAAACACTGCATTCAGACAGAATTTATTTCTGTCACTGTTTCTCTCTTTTGACTCCATGGACTAAAGCCAAGTTACTCATGGTTTGAAGGAATAAGGTTTCTGTATATTTATTTTACTGTGTACTAAAGTCTTGCCGGAATATTGAAATATGGAATTGTATGAGAGATTTTACAGATTTTCAGGACATTAGCCTTCACAGTCCCCTTAGGTTCTACAGTTAACTAATGCAGGAAGAACTAGGCTATCTGGGCAGTAAATCTAAATTTAAGCTAATATTTTAAGTTCTTGAGCTGGATCAAAGAGTTATAATAGTTTTCCGTCTCCTGAGAGCATAGCTAGATAACTTAGTTCTGCGTAAGGAAGCAAACAGGTAGAAAATCTGTCCTATCCAGCATAATGTTAATGTGAAGTAATAAAAAGGATGATAAGCTTGACAGCAGAAGATAGCTGACAACTTTATATGAGAACAGATTTGCCTTGTGTATGTGTTTTTGTATGTGCGAGAGAGAGAAAGAAAAAGAGAGACAGACTTCAGCCTACAATAGGCACAGCAATATTTTCCAGCTGAAGAGCATATAGAGCTCTTTTTGTATGTGCGAGAGAGAGAAAGAAAAAGAGAGACAGACTTCAGCCTACAATAGGCACAGCAATATTTTCCAGCTGAAGAGCATATAGAGCTCAGTACAGGAAAAATATTCATGAAAGAGAGGAAAAGAAATAAAATTTAAGTTTAATGAAGGAGTCACAGTCTATGCCTCTTCTTGGAAATTTTCCAGCAGCCTTCTTGATTCAGCCTACATCCTTCTAAAGGGCTTCCTGGATAACGCACACTCTGAATTGGATCTGGACCACATAGTGTATTACTACTTTTTTAAAATGAAAATTGGAGTAGCCTCTAATTAATACTAAGCTCTACTATAATTTAATGTGTAACCCAGTAAAAGTATTTGTAATTGTAGTAACATCACTGTTCTACTTTCTTTGATGTTCACCTATCAAGTATTATATTGTAATCTCGTTGAAACAAAGATTTCTGTTTCTACAGTATTACATGCTCCAGTCTTGGGAATATACAGTATGTGTCTCAATAGATAATTGGAAAGACTAAAAGAAAAGAGATAAAGTAGGTATTGAAAGATCTGTCTACATCAGTAGATTACTTCTGCCTGTCATTAGGGTTTTAGTAAATCAAGTTGAATGGAAAAGATGCCTATATCCCCCAAAGCAACTGTATTATTAATATGATACATCATTTCCCATAAGCATGTCTCTATAATTTTATCACAAACTCCCTGATAAATGAGGTGGTCTTGATTAGATTTTCTTGTTTGTTCCACAAAGGATTGATGCAATTCTGTTACGTCTCCTTGAATTCATGTTCCTAGCATTGCTCCATCTTGCAGTTTTCCATGCAGGCCTTCCTTTATTCTTTACCAGAGCCTTTGTCAATCTCAGTCTCTGTCAATCTCTGTTTTCCAAATTACTACCAAATGCTCAGCTTATATCTAAAAAAACAATTTATGAACATTAAACAAATGCATACAGGGTTCCTTACCTTTCATCCTTGTCATCTCTCTTGGTAGCAATTATATATATGATATTCATGTTAATGCAGCTTGGAGATTCAGCCCTTGAAGTCACTTTATGGCATTGCTATACTGCATTCTGGGAAAAGAAGGTTCCACATTCCTTCTGTGAAAAACCTGTAGCAATTAAATCAAATTGATGGTTCCTCTTCTCCTTTCCTCCAGTCACTTCCTTGATTGCACACTTGAACAACTTACCATGTAGATCAGATGGAGTGTGTCAATCAGATACTACATACTATCAATATGTCCAGTTCAGGTTATAGTTCTTATCACATTGGATCTATTAGCTGTAAGTTGTCCCAAAAAGGTTAGAAGTGCAGGGTATAGATTAACTAAAACTTAGGAGACAGCCCTGACCATTTGTTCCCCTTCCAGTTCTGAATGGCAGGGCAATCTGGCTAAGATTTATTTGGCGACATTAATTGTGTGTCTGTGCTACCTTAATTAAAATATTATATTTCAGTACTTTAATTATTATTAGTTGGTCCTTATTTTAGTGCAGAATATGTACAGGATAATTCTGTTAATTAAAATATATTTCATGTTCACTGAGGTTTCCACACTCTAGAATATGGAAAAGTCCTCATAAAGTATAGAGATATATTGAGTGATATTGTGATTGTTCAGTCCTGAATGTATTCCTAAATTAATATTTGTCTTTCTTTTCCTTTTCTCTTTTTCCTAATAACAGCATGTATTGTATTCCTTTTTCCATTAAATGACCTTACCTCACAGTTGTCTTGACTGGCTTCTGTTTACAGAAATTGTAAACCAGTTGAATGCTCTGAGCAGCTTAGATGAAGATCAAGATGACTACATAAAGCATACAAATATGCTGTCCACTAAATCAGCCAGTTCTTCTGAAGGTCTATGAGCTTTCCTCCTTTTCTGTTTCTGGCATGTCTGCATTTTACTGTGACCTCCTTAGTATCTGTTCATATTCAAATGTTGGTTGTAGCTTCGTGCTTGGTGTCCATTAAAGTCTATTGTAGTTCAGTCAAGTGTACGCAACAACATATGGTGCGTTCATCGGCCAAGGTGAGGAAACTATGGCCCTCAGATATTGTTGGATTTATATTCCCATCAGTCCCTGCAGCATGGTCATTGATCAGAAAAGATTGCAATTATAGTCAGACCTTCCATTTACTAAACCTAGCTCAGAACTGCCATCATTTGTTTTTGGAGGTGTTGCATTCTTTTTCTGAGATAATGTGTATGCTGCATGTGGGCCTTCCAGCTTAGTAATGGAAACATTACTACCTTTATATATTGATTTTCTTTAAGTTAGTTTAGGTTAATTTAAAAAATGGCATTTTTTTCTTTCCGAAAACTATTGCTAGAGCCTTCTAGGTCAGTTAACAGTCATGTAATAAATTTGCACTTGCATCTGTTCATGTTACTAAGCTGGAAACTTTGGTGTACTATGAATATAACAGTTTAGTTAGCAGTAGAAACCGTGTCATGATTCACTGTTAAAAGGGATATGTAGTACTTAAGTATTTGGAAAGTGATTGTTTAAACATTCTATGTTTAATCCTAAATGAAAGTATAAAATGTGTACTGAAAGATATTTTGTTTGGTTTCTTAGAACTTATCAACAAGCTTAGTTTCCTGGATGAAGAGGAGCAAGATTTCGCAAATTCAAGATCAAATCCCTTTGTAGATTCTGATAGATCAGAGCTGAATCCTTTTGGAGACACTGATATCGAAGGTATTTAATTCTGCCATGTACAATCTTTGGATTGTGCTATACTTTGTGGCAAGACCACAAACTATGTGTACTTCCTACTTCTCATTTTCTAAAAGTTTCTTTGATGTTACTTATGTGCTGATAATTTTCAACTTAAATATTCAACCATTGCTTGCTTAAAGTATAGCTTAATGATGGAATTCTTCAATCTGAAGTAGCCTTTTAGGTCACTGCTTGACCAAATCATTCTTCTTCTCCTAGACATGCCTGGACAATTTAATAAAACCTTATATAATATTTTAAGTCCTGGGAATAATAATCAGTACTGTAAAGAAGTAGCAACAGCGAGAACTAGACACGGAACCACTGATTGGTTCAAAATTGGAAAAGGAGTCCGGCAAGGCTGTATACTGTCGTCCTGCCTATTTAACTTATATGCAGAGCACATCATGAGAAAGGCAGGGCTAGATGAATCAAAAGTTGGAATTAAGATTGCCCGGAGAAATATCAACAACCTAAGATGTGCAGATGATACCACTCTAATGGCAGAAAGTGAAGAGGAACTAAAGAGCCTCTTGATGCGGGTGAAGAAGGAGAGTGCAAAAGTTGGCTTGAAACTCAACATTAAGAAAACCAAAATCATGGCATCCGGCCCTCTCAATTCCTGGCAAATAGATGGGGAAGAAATGGAGGTAGTGACAGATTTTATTTTTCTGGGCTCCAAGATCACCTCAGATGGGGACTGCAGCCAAGAAATTAAAAGACGCTTGCTCCTGGGGAGGAAAGCTATGGCAAATCTAGACAGCATACTAAAAAGCAGAGACATCACCCTGCCAACAAAAGTGCGTATAGTCCAGGCCATGGTTTTCCCAGTTGCAATGTATGGCTGTGAAAGTTGGACCATAAGAAAGGCTGAGCGCCAAAGAATTGAGGCCTTTGAACTATGGTGCTGGAGAAGACTCCTGCGAGTCCCTTGGACTGCAAGGCGTTCAAACCGGTCAGTCCTAGAAGAGATCAACCCCGACTGCTCTTTAGAAGGCCAGATCCTGAAGTTGAAACTCAAATACTTTGGCCACCTAATGAGAAGGAAGGACTCACTGGAGAAGGGCCTAATGCTGGGAAAGATTGAGGGCAATAGAAGAAGGGGACGACAGAGAATGAGATGGCTGGATGGAGTCACTGAAGCAGTAGGTGTGAACTTAAATGGACTCCAGAAGATGGTAGAGGACAGGAAGACCTGGAGGAACGTTGTCCATGGGGTCGCGATGGGTCGGACACGACTTCGCAATTAACAACAACAAAAGTTATTTAGTGTTTGATTTAACTCTATTTACGTGTGTACTAAAAGTTGCACTTTAGTAAACAAGATTCATAAATATATGAACAATTATATAGTTTACCTATACAAATATACATTCACAGTAAAGCAACTAGATTAGAAACCTGCACCAGAAGAACTGCTCTTCACGAAAAGATGGCATGCATACACGGAGTCCCTCGAGCAAGTCTTATTCTACCATGGAACATCCTCATCTGTGTTTATTGTTTTTTTTTTTCTGGACATTGGATGTTTCTGACAGTAGATAGAGTTACTGGTATCTGCATGAGTTACAATGGCTGGAGAGGATCGTCTGAAGTGCTGTGTGTTATTAAACTTACTGGCTCCTAAACTGTGAGGCTGACGGTTAGGGAAGGTTCTTCGAACTAATGTTTCTAAGCTAACTTTGTTACTCTGTAGTACTTAAGGGAGGCTTAACTACTCTAAACAGCAGCAGTGTTTCCCTTTTAGATGTGTCTTGGATTAGTAATACATCCCAGTGTTCTGCTGTATGTACATTTGACAGAAGGATTTAGATTAATTAGTTAATGTTTGTAAAGAATTTTGAAGATTAAAAGAACAATATAAGTGCTAAATGTTACAAGAGGTTGGTTGTTTAAATATGCAGTTTCTTTTTGAACACCCTTCTCTTTGCTGCCTCCCATTCTTTTTTTGTTTTCGTATTTTGTTTTGTTTAAAAAAATTGCATCACTTTTCGGTATTCAGTTTATGTCTTTGATGATTTGTTTAATCTGGAGGTTCTCTTTTCTTTCAGATGCTTTTTGAAATAATAACTATTGCATGTCTAGCACTTAGACTTCTATAATTAATCAATTGATTATTTCATTTTTGTATAAATGATTCTTGTGTTCTTCCTTTAAGCCGTACTTGTCATAAATATTATGAATTGAGTATCAAGATTTCATCTGTAGAATTCCATATATTCTTTATTAATGGAGCTTGATATTCTGAAATATGCCTCTAGAATTGGTTCTATTTTAAATTGATGTTTTAGAATCTATCTCTGTTACTGAATGTACTTGAATTTCATATGCCCGGCAACTCAGGGGCAGGACTGGATATGTGGCCAAAGAGGCAGATTAAATATAAAGATGAAATGAATGGATTGTATGTGAATTGAATTTGTATGATCCTAAGCCGGTTTTTGAAGTAGATTATCGGTACATTTCTTTAGTTAATTGTTTCAGAACATATATCAAATCTGAATGATTTCTGAGTCCCCTGGCCGGAGCAGTATGTTGCATTTTTTCTATTTGGGAGAGCAAAAAATAAGGGAGGTTATGAAGCAGATACATAACAAAATTATAATATACGACTAATCTGTTTTTGGTTTAATGGATCACAGTTGGCCAGGACTTCTACTTGAATTATTTCACTTTCAACAGTTGAACAAAAAATAAAGACGAATTATTTGTAACAAAGACAATTTCCTTTTTGTATATGACTGATTCTTTGCTCTGGCAGTACTGAATAACAATGTTAAGCTAGCATTTTTGTACCATACTAGAAGCAAAAGTCAAACAAAACCCTTTTCCCTATTTCATTTATTTATTGTTTAAAATGCATGCACAAAAGATGGAAATGGGAATATGGCAATCTGCCTTTTGGAAAAGTTGTTTTTAGTAGAACCTGTAACTGTTTCAGATTAGGCCTGAGCAGTTATTATGACTATTATGGATTGCATGGGTGATCCTGTGGAAATCAGGATTCTCTCAATACTGATAAAATTTCTGAGTTGTTTTTTTTTTAACATGCCTAGTCATCAAAGAATTGTCTGGCTATTTTTTTCCCCTTTGGTTTGTATGATTTACAACACACTTTAAAGGTACTCCTCTTATTTTATTAATATTAATTTGGGATGGGAACTGTTTTGTATTCTACTAGAGTTCTGAAGGAATTGAAGAGTTCCTTCTCCATTAAGACACAACCTCTTGATTGTGCTCTCTGTAGAACCAGATATTAAGATGACTTCATTATCCAAACAAGAGCACTACTGTGATGACAGCGATGAATATAACCCCTTTAAGGAAAAGAGTGTAGAGTATGTGAACCCTTTTGATGAGCCAGACCTTGAACCTGAGGTCCTGTTACCTGTCAAAGACTCTCCTCCTCAACCTAGCAAAAGGAAAAATATCCGACCTGTGGATATGAGCAAATATCTTTATGCTGACACATCAAGAACAGATGAAGAGGAGTTAGATGAGTAAGTGGATCTCTTTTTTCCTTTGCATTAGTTGGAATTTCAGCACCAAACCTCCAGGCATAAAATATTAAAGTACAAGAATAAACTGTGCCGTTAATAGAAATTGAAAACATTAAACATTGGGGCATGCGCGTTACTGGGTTTTTTTTCCCTGTGAGGATTTAAATCATCAAAGAAGAATCTCTGAAGGGAGACGTAGATACAGATGTTCAGGATGAAAAGCATGCATGCTCAGTTCAGGCGTGGCATTGGCTGCTGCAGCACTTCAGTTGGCTAGTGGCCAGCTTTGAACTATCCATATATGTAAGGACATTTGAGGATAATGGATGACCTAGTCTTTAGAACTTCGGTACTATCTCTTTTTTTACTCAGTGTTCATTCAATACATTTAAGCAGTTCTATATAGAGTTCAAGACCTCCCCCCTTCTCAAAGTATTGTATTAGATGTATTATACAAAGTACATTTCTTGATCGGTTTTAGTAATAGTATAGTAGTACAATTGCCCTAATATTTGAAGAAGATGAAACTAATTGTGTTTTCTCTGTTATAAATACAAATAGTGGTCCCAGGTCTTTCCTATTTCCCCTCCCCACTTTTTTTTTTCTTGTCCTGGAAAGTGTCTGTAGATTTTTCTAAGTTGTTTTGTTGGCTTGTTGCTTTGAAAAATGATTGTAACTTGGCCAAGTCTGAGAGTTGGTTTTGTGTACAAATCAGATGAGACTAAGTCAGATCTTGATGGACCTAGATATGCAGTTTCCTTAACTGCAGTACCAAAGTAGTTTACTGTTGCCTTCTTCTGGGAAGTTTTTTTTTTTTTAATCCCCAGCCTAATATTAGTATTCAGCAGGCCTTTCTTAGTTTAGATTCTGAGGCCAGACAACGCCTGCTGAGGTATAGCAAGATTTATTGTTCTATTTCCTAAATTTGACTAAGTACGTATTATGGGTCATGATCCCTAGATCCCTATCATCTTAGCTATCGTGTGTGCGGTTCCTGGCAAATTAGAAAAGGCAAATATAATAAACACATGGAGGAGGGGGAACAAGAGAGTAAAATTAAAAAATTAACGTAGAAGTACAAGTAAAGTTCTTTTTTAATTTATTCTCATCCAGAAAGAAATCTGTAGCACTGAATTCATAGCAGGGTATTTAAGGTATAATGAATGTTTTCTATCCAAATACCAACGAATGTATATATTCAGTTGCAACTGTAGCTTCCTTCCCTTTTTGTAGCATAACAGACTGTTAACTTTCAAGACAGTCAAAATGTGAAGACCAAACACACACCATCTTTTCAGTGACAATTGCGGCACCATTCCTTCTGGATTCTAGGCACATGTTTACATGTGCATTAAGGGTCCTATGAAGAAGCTTGTTTCCTTTTTTCACTGAACTTCAGTTTATTTATCAAGCAATCCCTTTGCGTCTACTGTGATGTTAGGCTATTTATATCCCTGAATCATCAGCACAATGTCTCGTAATCAGACTTTCATCAGCAGTACCCGTTGGTGTACTACAAAGAATATAGAACTGGGAAACAGAAAACATCAATTCAAGCTGTAGATGAATCTCAATCCCCCATTTTGTATGCATGTCACTATTTTTGTGTTCAATCATAATGTCTTCTGTAACAGTTTGTGTTTTTAAAAAGACATTTCAAGAACTTATTTTCTACAATATTCTCTTTTCCTCAATATGTGCAACTAGTATGCAAATTTATAAATTTACATATTCATAAAATTTGGGGTTTTTTTTAAAAAAAAATGCAACATTTTACTTGAATAACCACACTTGGAAGTGTGCGGTTAGAAAACTAACTGCATTCCAATCTCAGAAATATGAATTAGGTCAGTGTGGACTAAGTGAAATTCATTGACATCTTTAGTGATAGAGGAAAAGCCGCTTAATTTCTGCATACTTCAACAGGAATGATAATGAAAGAGAGGTACTAAAGAGGACTATCTGATAAAGCAGGCAGCATTTTAAAATAAATTAATAAAGGCGGCCTCCAACTGCTTGCCTGAAAATCCCATCCAGATACATTTGGATCATAAGGGTGGCAGAAGAAGCCTTAATTCAGTGGAATGGCTCAGATTTCATGTAGAGAAGATCATAAGGTCGGTTTCTGAATGTGATTTTCTCTTGGAAAAATCTGGAAAGGCTTAAGCACATTGGCTTCTTTATGAGCCAGTTGGATAGAATACTACCTGGATTATAAAGATCTTCTGAAGCTTCTAATCCTTGGCTTTCTAATGATACTTCCTACCATGACCCAGCTGCTCTTCCTTAGCAATGCAGAAGATTATCTGCCTTTCCTTAACAGATAACTGTTGTTCTAGATCAGGAGTCCTCAAACTACAGGCTGCATGCAGCCCACCCTGTCTTTTTATCCGGCCCGTCTCAACCTACCGGGCAAGCCGTCCAATGGTGAGGAGAGGGTGGGTGGTATGGCAGCGAGAGCCCCAGCCAATGGCAGGATGGCGAGTTGGTGGGAGGAGATGTTTTTTCCCAGTTTCTCCCTCTTGCACCCAAGTGCACGCTCGTGCTTCGGCCACACCTCCTTCTTCTCCTCCTCTCACCTCTTCACGTTTTTACCTCAGGGCCGGACTGAGAGGTTTAGGCTTCGCAGCCTCGGCCTCGCTTAAGGCACCCAAGCCGGGCGATGACAATGCTGCTGCTGCTTCTTCTGAGGTGGGTCTCTCGCTACACTACAGAATGTGAGCCCCAGCCTCCACCACTGCTACCGCCGCCGCCTTACCAAGAAGAAACTGGTGCCACTGGCCCTCAACATCACCCCCGCCATCGCAAAGGGACCCATCCCCACCGCTGGCAGCGAGGTTGACAGCTCCGAGTGGGCTTGATCCTCGTGAGGGTCAGAGCGGGACTGCTGGAGTGGGGTGCTGGTTTTGGTTCTGAGGAGAGCGGGTAAAGGGCGAGCTATTTGTGAGGGGCGGCCGGGGTGAGTGAGAAAAAAGGAGAATTTGCTCCTGGAAGATTATTTCGTGATTGCGAGGATTGTGTGGAGCTGAGGCGATGAAAGGTCTGGAATGCCAATCAAGGAGAATATTTCTGGCTCAGGTTAAAATGAAGGGTCCTGAGGATGGTGGTTTTCTTGCAGACTTTTCAGGACCCAAAGTGGGATAATAAGTGAACTGATGATGTCACCTAGTTTGGATCATGAGACGTCTGCAAAAAAGTCACCAAGCTCAGAGAGCACCAAGGTCTCCACAGCCGCCCTCTTTCTCCTCCTCTCCTCCTCCATTCCACAAACCCCCTCTCTTCTGACATTGCTGATGTTACCTAGTTTGGGTCATGGGACATCTGCAAGAAATGCTGAATGGAAATAGCACCTTGCCTTTTTGACAGATGTAACAGAGCTACTCAACAGTTTCAAAGTGCATCTTCAAGGAAAGGGGAAGCTCATCTGTGATATGCATTCACATGTGAAAGCATTTAAAGTAAAATTGGACATACTCATTAAACAAGTGAGGAAGGAAAACTTCTGCCATCTTCCCACAACTCAAAAACTATTTGTGGAAAAACCAGCAATTGCATTCCCAAACAAAACATGTGGGATTCATTGGAAATGTACATTTTCTTCACTTAAAAACTCATTCAAATAATTAACCAATTCATTTTTCTTGTTTCATTTTTTCTTTTGTACTTGATTTTACATTGTTCTATAATCATTAATTTTTTTTCAAACTATAGTCCGTCCCCCCAACAGTCTGAGGGACAATGAACTGGCCCCTGTTTAAAAAGTTTAAGGATCCCTGTTCTAGATTGTGAGTAGACAAAGGAGGAGGATCACAAATCCCAAAGTATGATAGGAAAAATGTTACTAGCTTTGTTTCCTTTGCAATAAAAACATACTAGTATTGTACCAAGTAGTTTCAGAAGGAAAAGCTATAATTATGGATTTCCCATCATTCATCTCAGACAGGCTCCTTTTACAAATTTCAAATAATTAGGTGAGTCTTTCCTATAGATCCCCTCTCATATTGGTTGTCCATTATATGTTGCATAATGGTATTCATGAAGCTTGTAAAGCTTGTAGCAACTTTTGTGGAAAAAATACATTAGAATTCCATGGAAAAGTGTTGGAAACACTGTAGTAATTCTCCAGCACTGGAGATGGATAATCCACGCAGTGGGTTGAGACTGTATTCCTGGCCAATCAGATCAGTCAGCCAAAGTTGCCACGCCCCGTCCTGGACCATGATCCTTAGTCTTGACTGATCTGGCCATACAGACAGACCTACAACTTTGGCTCCTGGGCAGGTATAGTTCCTTTCCATTGGGGGGGATTTTTTCTAGTAGCTGAAATTGCTTAGTTTAAAAGTTAATTAGAGATAATTTAATTCAATTTAATTGATTACTCAAAAATTTCCTTGCTAAATTGTAAGACTCAGGAAGTCAGATTCCTACAGGGGAATCCACCCCCGCTTAAAAGGGGGAAATCCCTAACTCCCCTCCCTAACCCAAACCTCAGCCACCTTCCAGCAGCCGGTAGCCGCCTTAAACAAACGGGGGGGGGGCTCGGGCAACCCCTCGCGTTTAAAACAAACAAAACAAAAAAAGACAGAAAGGCAAGCAATTAGCGAGGGAAGCGGAGGACAAAGGGGACGCATGCTGGGAGGGAGATTGATTAAGGGAAACAGCTGGCGTGCGAAGGAGCAGTCTTTTTCACTCCAGGCTGCTCAGGATTTTTTAAACGAGGCGCCATTGTCTGCACAGCTGGAAGCACGCGCAGCTCTTTGTTACAACCGCACGTGGCACAGGCAGCCTTGTTAACACATGCGCAGTAGTCTCCTGGCAGCGGCGGCCATATTTTTTGTCCAAACAGGGGATTTAAGGACTCCCTGAGAAAGCTAGGTTCAGCCGCTGGAGTGAATTAATAGGCAAGCAGTACTGGGGTACTAAAGCATCTATTATTCATTCAGAGACATTCAAATCAGACACATAGCTACTGGTTCCAGGACTTGGTGTCTTCTACCTAA